GAGGGATACTTTCGGAGGGAAGTAAAAAAGAGACTCGAGAATCCAAATCGCCACCAAGACCATTAATCTTCGAGAGAAGGAAATAGAAAAAAAAAAGAGAGAGATGTAGAGGAAGAACACGTGCTTGTACTCGAGGTTACTGGTAAACAGATCGATAGTGGACATGTTTCGTGGGTACATGTAAAATTTTTTCGCCCTGCAACTATGATGATGATGATGATGATTGCTGGTTGAAGGGTGATCGATTGGGCGATCATTTCGTGATTTCCGTCTTTTTACTTCTCGTTGGATTATTTTTACTCACGCGCTTATTGATTGGCTTGCCTGGTGGATATCGCAGTCAAATCGGTGGTGTAGAGGAGAGAAAAATAAAGGACGAAATAATCCGACAGCACGTTAAACACAATACATGTAAAAATGATAAGTTTACGACTTTTGTAAATTTTACTTTTATCGTCAGTTACGATGAGTTTGTGGTGTAAGTAACCATACTAACGCCACTAGTGGTAAACAGATGGTGTCTATAAAAACTTTTGGTATCTTTCCTCTTCGAACTAAAAATCATTAACGTATGCAACGCATCAAATCTATCGACAAAAAAAAAAAAAAAATTCCACACCCTCGTTGTGCGTTTTACAAAGATGAAAGTGGGGAGAAAAGGGATGGAAAGAAAATTGGAAGTAGTATTCATCGGCGTATGAGCTCCTATATTCGGGCGCGCTCGGTCGATGCATTCGTTTTTGCCTATCGGTTATCTATTTTCGGCGAAACGTCGGGAGCAATACGGGGGAGGGGGGAGGATTTCATTTCGTTATTAAAAGCCGTGAACCAGAGAAACGAGAGGGTTGAGGAATCGTGTCGGGCTATATTCTCCGGGGGTGCCCTCTTTCTTACTGTTCGTTTATTTTGTGTATTTTGTGTTTGTAAATCGAAATACCGGGTGTAGATGTTCTCGTTTTCCTTTTTTAGCATACCAACGCACACTAGTCGACGACTCGTTCGCTTTCCATGTTCTTCGTATCCATCGGAAGTCTTTTCAAATCCATTAATGTCCTCTATATTTATTTAAAACTTTTAGTTCATTAGGACTTTTTTCATTCGCGCATCGATGGTAAATACAGTACGTCATCAAAAGTAACCGGTCTACATTCACATGTTCCCTTATGTCACGTACCGATTTATCAATACCGATTGAATAATCCAACGGAAACTCTTGATGGCTCCAAAATACACCCGAGACGGGGCAAAAATACACCGATCTATCCTCGTACCCATATTATCACCTATACAATCACGTTATAGCACTCCACCGTCAGTTGTACGCCACGGCTATTGTTAGCAGATTTGGTTACAGTATACTCGCATATCATTGGCTATTTTCAAACCGAATGGTCCGCCATCGTTTGCGGGGAATCGTCGATTCAGTAGAAACGTAAGCGTCACGTCAGACGCGGAGCTTTTTCGATCCCGTGCAGTCGACAAGGGGGGAGGGAGGAGGTAATCGCGCACACGGCCGTGATCATCGTGTACACGGGCCAATCTCGAGATCAGGACACGCCTGAGTTGCCGCTGCAGTGCATAGAGTAAGCCTGTATGCCGTCCTCCTTGCACACACGCCCGCAGCGGGAGGAGGAGGATGGACGCGGGCGAAGCGAGGCTTAATCGAAGCATCGCCGGCTGCCATGCCGCGTAATGGCCGTGTACAGCAAGGCATCTATACGCTGCTGTTAGGGACATCTGGGCTTTCCTCCAGGATATTATGTGCTGGGGGGGAGGGAATGTGCATCGGGGCGGTGGCGCGGGCCGATCGGCAGCCCATACTGTGGCTGTGCCATCACGATGGTTATGATGATGATATGCTCCGATGGTGTACATATCGCTCGTAGCTTGTAGATGCGAGTGGTGACGTTGACCATCATATGAGTGGATGAATGGCTTCTCTTGGTTATACCTACGCACAGTAGAGCTAACGGAAATATGGGTAAAGTGCAGCAGCATGAAAATATGGAAATAATAATCCAAGCTAAGGTATCAGAGATAACTGTAGAATTTATCGGTAGCTGAGAGTTTCGCGCACTGTATCATCGTGCCTTATCGGGCTTTTCGTTTTTTGTTTGCACCGCAGATTTCACGAAAACTACGAATTCTCACGTTTCCACGCGTGTCAAACAGACGAAAGAGATCTGTATGGACCGATAAATCGGCGCCGACGAGGTTTAGCAATATCCGAATAGATGAAAAAAAAACAAAAAAAAAAGTACCTACAGTATTTATTACACGCGAGTCTCGGAAAATTGATTTCCGTCCGATGAAAGCACATTGCATCGTTCGTTCCGGCCGTGTATGTTCCGTGCACGTGACGCGCATAGGCATAGGTATACACCTACGACATATCACTGCCGTTTTATGAATAATGAACAATCGCACGTGTATAACCCGATGGCATATATACATATATATGTGTGTGTATGCACAAAGGGAGGCCGTTCTATAGTTTAATAGCACACATGGTTTACACCTACGGCTCGCGTCTAGCGCTACTTTGCCGATTAAAATTCACGCGCATAATTTGAAACGAGTTTTACGGATTGTTTTTACGCGACGACAAGCACTTTTTACGATATTACACCATTCTTGGGGGTGATGAAGTTTCACACGCGAAAAAAGAACGTTGTCGCTTCGAGGAATTAACAAAAGCACCCCTGTTAATGAATCAGGGGCTCTGCTGTGTAATTTCGATCACGCGACCGACACCCGTGACGGGAAAAAAATCCAAAAAAAGTCACAGGACTCGGGAATAAAGTAATAACAATGGTACGCACGAATCAAAGAGGGAGTTTACTGCGGGTAACATGCATACATACAGCGGGGGAACAGCAAAGTGCAAGGGAGGGTTTAATGCTCGGTGCGCACGCCGATAGGCCGGTACTGCATCCAAGTGCGGGTAGCACGCGTGCAGGTGGGTACACACCAGAGGGTTACGGATGGCCCATGGGCACGCTAACCCAGTGACGCGTCTAGGTCAGCCCCTGCCTCTTTCTCTCCGACCGCAGAGCCACACTGTTTGTCAAGTTGGGTGTGTATAGGTACACGTAAAAAATAGGGGATCACGCCAGCCTGGGTTGCAGATCGCAGGGATTTTCGGGGGTGACGCGTTTCGTGCGCTCCAGGGAGGTTTTTTTTTTCTGTATCGAGCCGAGGGGCAATTTATTGGATGATGCGACGCGCGGCTGGGGAATTCGGGTGTCTTGGTTCATCGGCTGCCGCGGGGATTAATTCGAGGATTCTCGGGGGATTCGGGTTTCCGTTCGTGCGTTACAGAGCTCGCGATGATTGTGAATTACGTCCAAGGGTACACACGTATTTTTATTTATTTATTTATTTTTTTTTTTTTTCGTTGCAAGTGTCGGGGTTTGGGGAAAAGCGTTGTTTTTTCACTAACTCGGAGAAAAAAAAAAAAAAAAAAACAGGGATGCAGGATTTCCGTTGGCAAAGACGTCTTACTTTCGTCAAAGTGAGAGAATAATCGCCACATACGCGTGCAATGATGCATCAAACAGCATTATATACGTGTAATACGAAAAGCACGCCATCGATCCAAACATACGTATGTACGTATACCTATACGCGTTTATTATGCACGTGTATGATAATAATACAGGTGTACATGCAGCAGTCGGTGTAGAAGGAGGGTTTGTTTGAGAGATTCCGTAGGTGACGGGAGGGATAAAGTAGGGTGGAAACGTTTACGACTCGAGGAAGCGTATTTACGCGTACCCATCGGTCTAACGATGCGGAAGGAGCCCTTCCTCTTCCTCGAGCGGAAGTACATCGTAAAACTTGCCTTTGGATCTGCGTTTTATTGTTGCGAAATGCAAAAAGAGCCGATAAGGTATAAGGCTCTCGAACGCTCGGGCTGGATACTACGGGGACATTTTATTGGGTCGTGAATTTTTCTTGTTTTTGTTTCGAGGGTCGTTTCGGTTGCCCTAGCGGAGAGGGCAAGAGGAATTATTTCACCTACTCCCAGTAAACAATGTACTTTGATGCCTGATTTTTTCCAAATGTAGCTCGTTGTTTTTTTCCTCCTTCCAAGTACAAATTTTAGAAAGGGAAACACCAATAACCCACAGCTCGTATGTATATATCAAAGCCTGCGCGTAAGTTTCGTTTGTCTATCGAGTCTTAACAATCACGTGAAATTTCGCATGTTTTACCATCAAAGCGTTGTCGAGGGTTTCTAGTAGCTGTTATTCTGTCGCGTGGAGTGTAATACACGCTGTGTCGGTAACGCGACAGCTATTTACATAGAGTAAGTGGAGGAGGAAGAGGAAAAGGAAGCTGTGGGGGACTGGAATTGTGTCGGCGCTCCAATTTTACGTGTACATACGAGACGACGATTACAGCGCTTCGCAAGTGATGCAAGTTATATATGCTCTCTTGTGTTTAGGCAGTAACATTTTTAACAATTTTAAGCCTTTTTGAAAATTAATTAATGTATTTTTCAGTAACGTGTACGCTTATCTGTGCTGCCTTACTGACAACCCCAGCTACAGAGCTAACGATTGATCTTGCCTTTGTTGCGATTTACATAGCCGATAACTCATCGTGACGAGCCATAAACTTGAATCAACAAAATCACTTTTTTTATCCCACTCTGCTTTGTAAACTCGAAAACAATAGCCAAGGGGAAATACATATCATAAAAAACACGTGTCGTTACGCTGTTCAAACTATTTGTTTGAGGGTACATGTTTTTAATGTCATTTTTCCGACTTGGAAAAAAAAATTAATACATTTTTCTGGAGTATCGTCAGACGATACACGTTTTTGGAAACATAATTTGCAATTGATACGTTTTATTCTAAATTATTGCGAGCCAATGAGTTATAAAGATAAATGTTTGTTGAAACATCACCATAAATTAGTAAAGATAATGTTAGTTTTCCATGAATAAAGTCATAAAAAAAAAAAAAAAAAAAACTTTGATTTTTAGGACGAACGGAAAATGAGGGCCCGAGGCCAGAGGCCCGAAGTGATGTAGAGGAGCCAACAGACCGGAGAATCAGTATCGCAGTCGGAGCAGTAGTGGTACAGTTAGTAGCGTAGAGGAAGATAAATAGAGAGAGAGCAAAGGTGTCCACCAGGCAGTTATCGTCCCAAGGTTTTGCTTCCACGTCTACCGTCGCCGGCTTCTCGGCGTCCACTTCGAACCCTACGTGGTTCAACATCCTTCCCTTGGCTGGAAAAACCGTGAGTTCTCTCGATATTGTTACTTGGAGGTTTTTCAAACAATTACTTTTTCTTTCTAGTTTTTTTTTATTTGGAGCTGCGTTAAGGGCGGGTTTTTCCTTGTCAAGGCTGGAGGGGGTAAATGGTAACTCCTATATTGGTACTGACACACGATACGAGAGCAAAATGTATGAAACTCCCATACAAGTGATATATAAGTACTGACAACGAGAAGCCTCGTGTCGTTCATTCGCCTGTCCAGGGAAATTCGTTTCAATTTGTTTTCCTGCGGAATTGGCAAAACTTTTTTTCTTCTTCAAAAATAACATAAACAGAGAAAACGTGAGAGAGGGAGAGAGAGAGGAACTAATTTTCTCCTTCAACGATAGCTCTCGCACCCCTTTTATACGCGTGCAATACGTACAACGTCGAGTAGGCACGTATGCTTGCTCTCATTGTGCCCCACTTGAATTTCTCATAAGCGCGCATGTACATGTATATTATACCTATTGCATCCAGAGAATAGGAAAATGGATGGATATACACACGTATCCACGCGCGCATCATGTGAAGTGAGCACGTATATATACGTACACGCGTGCTTGAATGCGCACTCGCAAAGTTTCTCGAGGGTTGTTGCTGGAGTGCGTTGTGCACACGGATGCGATACTTGAGTTTTTTTTTTTTTTTTTTTCATTTATTTTGTCCTCGAAATTTTTCCCTTTCGTCATTTTTGCGCTACTCCCCTTTAAAATCTTATTTTCCGACACTGACAATTAGTAACGTTGTCCTAATTGCAATATACTTTTGACAAGCACTCGCGTGCACATGTCTACACCCCTCGTCCTACTCTACGTAACACTGTTAACGCCAGCCATCCTCATAAATGTCTGAAAATTTAATACCAAAGTTACACGTAGAGCCCCAAAGTTCTGGTTACATCGTCCCACAACGCGCATCTATTATTCAAAATGTAAATAATTTTCACAAGTATTCGAACAACAAGTTCTCAACAACAACAAGACCAGTGTAGTGAAATGTTTAATATTTAATCAAAAGACTGTCTTTTTTTTCTTTTTTTTTCCATTCCATCTCGTTTCGTAGCAGCAACGACCCATACCTGTCAACTCGTCCCGCGTATCCTTACAATGAAAAAAAGAAAAAAAATCAGACAGCGTCAAAGCTCACGCGTCGACAGCCTCCAATCACTGCAAGCTCTCGCTCGTCCGCACAAAGAAGCGTATATATACACATACATATGGGGACACTTCCAACCCGGGCATATTACACGTAGTGATACGCGTCGCGGAGCAATATGGGCTACAATAGGGGCACAATTTACTAGCCAACTGCCGTTGTTACGTGTATAAGTATATGCTTCTGCCCTCCGGGCGACTGCAGCTCTCTCTCTCTCTCTCTCTGTGCGCTCTTCCTTCTTCGTTACTCTGCGTCGCGTTGTTACCACTCGACATGCGTATGGTATAATGTACCAACAGCTAGTTCTTCGACTTGCGGATCGAAAAAAGCTTTCGCAGCTCATTGGCGGGTCGTTTCATCAACCATGTATATAATATATACGGTACGTGAAAGTGGTGTAAGTACGGTGGATCTGGACTTTCGTGGCGAAAGCTCGTCGTTCGAGTGTAAGCTTGATTTTTCGCGCGTACATTTTGTAACGTTGCGAAAAATCCAAGCTCACAAGGCAATGCTCATTGTAAGTTTGGAGCTTTTGGATTTTTGGGTGGCTAGTGGGTAATATTTGTCTGCTGTAGATCCGAAGGGGAGAAATTTACTGTAAAATATTATTAGGTGTACATGTATGTACTGAAGAGGAGGTGCAAAGTTCAATGGAGCTTTGAGAGCGCGGTTGACGCACGACGTTACGTGCGACGGTGTATAATGTGCTCTAGATTCGATGTGCACATATCTATACGTGCACTCAAGCGGAGATTGCTCCAAGTGTGTAGGTATATTTATGTATGTGTCGTTATGAAAATTACTCCGTGTCATACCGTATCATTTGCTTACTCTGTTTTTGTTTAATCTGCAATTTCATACATATAATGATGGATTGATTCATTGGTACATGCAGTACGTACTCACGTTGTCGTATAATTGTGTGATGTATCGAAAAACACGACAAATGGTACCGCTCGTACTCAAACTTGGGCACAATCATTTTATGGGATTTTCAACATTGTTTTTACGGACTAAATTCCATTCCACTAATTAGAACATATAATATTAAGACAATCAATTTTCATCCGATAAATTTTAATCAAACATTTAAACACGCTATCTAATACTTTGACACTTTTTCTTTTCTCAATTGTTTTTACTTTTGAACTGTAATATGTTGTTTTTATTAGAAAAATTTTTGTTGTAACGTTCTTTCGTGTAAGTAGCAGTGAAATAAAATTTCATTTGGGACAAACCATGATCTACATTTTTAGAGAAAAACTACATTAAAAAAAAGTCATTCGTGTCTAAGTCCATTCGTGCTTCGACGCGTTAAAATCTTTCTCATTGATGAAAGAACCAAGGCAGCACTTTGATGCTCGCAAGCTTCGGTGAACGAACAATGGTATTCCGCACGGCTGTGTGCTTGTAAAAAAAAAAAAAAAAAGTATACTTTGAATTGTCTTTGTTTTTTTTGACGCCAATCGTGATCTAGCACATTACTCACGCTGCCGTCGTAAACGTTAAAAATCTACGCCCAACGAGATCGAGAAACAATATAGGGCGCCAAAAAAAAAAAAAAAAGAAAAGAAAAAAACAAAGAGCAAGCATCGGTATAGCTGAATTGAGTTTCAATCGAGAGAGTAAAAAGAGCGGTCGCGCGGAAAAGGACGCAGCCGATAAACCGATAAGTAGGCGAGCTTTTCGCGTAAGCTCCCTTCGGAGAAGAGATATCCGTTACACCAACAGAAAGAGACGGGGAAAGAAGTCAGAAGAGAAAAGATCGTCCCTTCCTCCCGAGAGAGTAAAAAACTTGCACGCGAGCGAAATCAATTTCTTTTTCTTCCCCCATGATACTCCGCGCGCCCGCGTCCAACTTTCTCCTGTTCCTTTTTTATATTCTTCCCTCGGAGATGAGACTCGCTTCCCCTCCTTCCTTCGACGACGTACCGAGTCATTTTCTCCCCTCGAGTTTTTATCTCCGCGGAAGAAAAAGCACAGGTGGTGGTGCACTTGGAGATAATCTTCTCGGCGGAAGGGAGGGAGGGTCCAATAAATTTCCTAATAAACTCACGAGCGTTTACCCATCACTGTGCGCAATATATGGGGAGGAATGTATGTTTTACGGGACGAGGGAGAGCAGTTTTTTGATGGATGCCGGTCTCGCTTCATCGTTTGCGTGGAGCTTGTAAATGCTCGAGACTCCGAGTACTCGCTGAGAGTTGGCGCTTCGATTTCGTTGGGAAAATCCACGCGTGGGTTACGAGCAAACGTGATTGGAGTATAAAGCTGTACCACAGTGAGTTTTGGGATCGATTCAGGAGATAGCAAATCGCGGGTGAATAAAACCTTGTGCAGGGCTGAGGGTGCAAATGAGGTGAAAAATACACGAGTTGCGGCGCGTGTCGAACCAGGGGGGTGGCTTGAGTTTGGAGTTGTCGAGCGATGACTTGACGCGGGCGTTCTTCGAGGAATGTAATTTTTCGAGTCCGTTGAGGTCGTGCTGCGCGTTGCAAAGTTAAAAGAATTTGTTGGGCTGGTCGATAAAATCGATCAATCGTGTGGTTGTGAACGAGTGAATTTTTTTCACTTTTATTTTATGGCTTAAAAAAAAAAACTAAAAAACCAAAAAATTTACTAAAAAACCGTCGACGCGTTGAATTTTTCAACTCAGTGTATTTTACTTACAAAAAAGTTTTAGCCAACTTTTTATATAAATATAGCCCCAAATCACAATACAGTATAAACAATAGTTTTCAATTAATAGAAAAACTAAAAAACCAAAAAATCCCATCAAATTACAAATTTTTTAGTTTAGATGTTACAGCCCTCTTTAATAATATACATATCCCCCTAATAGTTTCAGCCCTAACTAAGAGATGGCAACATTAAGGCATACATATAAATTTATCATGTACAGAATTTATAGATATTATAAAATTTATTTTACAAAATAATTATTTCGTTTTCAATAGATCATGTTTTAAACAAAAGTTTGGCTGTGCAATGGGTAATCCTCTTAGCCCCATACTTTCTGAATTGGTAATGAANATATATATATATATACATCTAACGTTCTCTTATTAAAAAACATGTTATTCAAGAAAAAAAACAAAACCCAGTAACCACTAGGACCCTCCCTGACACCGGTTAGAGCAGCACTTATTCCAACCTCTCCTAATTCTTCTCGTTTCCCAATTAAGTGTCCCTTGCGCTTTCCCCGACACCTTCGGCAATGTTCCCCTCCATTCAATTACAGTTCGACTTCGGAAACAAAATCGTAGAGGCGTATCCACCAATTAAGCATCATTTTCTCTCGCGATAAAAAGAAAAGCAATTTTTTTTTTTTTATTAAATCGCTAAACAACGATCGTGTGCGAGCGTGAAATGAAGGTACGTCGCGAATATAATAGCGTGTGCCTATTCCATGCACCGGGGGACCGTATGTGGAGCGAGTACTCGTGGGTGCTTTCGTTAATTACGTGCACATGTAGAAGGAGGAGGAGCTGTTCAGCTTACACACAGTAGCCCAGCAAATTAATTCGGCTCCGGCGCGCTTCTTCGTCCCATCGTATATATGTACACACGTGTGGCCGGCTCCATGTACATACGTATGTATATGATGTACGTGCAGGCACGCGAGCTCACGTGCTTTGATTCTATGTGTGGGTGTTATTATTATTACGTAGGTGTACGGTTTGTGAGTTAAGTGCTCGTTGGAGATTCGCTTCCAAACCTTGCGTCGGAGAGTTTATTTTGGTCTCGTGGAATGTCCATCTGAGAAAAATTATCACGAATTTTAGAGTATATATTATTATGTTGTATACCCATTGAAAGTTGTGTGTACGTTATAACAATCACAGTAAAACGAAGTAAAAATATATCCATTTAATGTAGTAATTTTTATTTATACGTTAACAATTTGTGCTGTTCGAACAAAAAGTGTGTCACTTATAAGAATTTGAAAATGAAAAAATTGGTATTGTTTTTCACAGAAATGGGCTGAATTCGTGGGAACGATTCAAGGGTCGATCATTGAATCGTAACGGGTGTTACTTACCTCATTACGTAATGGGATTTCGAAAAAGGAACAGCGAGCGAGATAATCGTGTTCAGAGAGCACCTGTTGCACACTCGTACATACACTCACGCGGTCCCTGATAAGCGAATCTGTGAATTTAATCCTGCGAGATTTACCACCGACTTTTTTTATTAGAGTCCACGTGAAAAAATAGAGATCACACTACTAGATTTTAATGATTTGACCTTTTCAGTTAATTTTCGATACTAATTTTTTTTTTTTTTCATCCGTATCTTACACTCTTAATTCGGATGAGCAAAAGTCCATTAAAATGCAGCTGTCCCATTTAAATTCACCTGCTTAAACGAAATCCCCATTTATTAAATTCATTCAAATTAAATCACAAGTATATAGGTATAGTACTTTTTAAATTCACGAATGAGCCAAGTTACACTGTTTCGCAAATCCAAAGTAAAAAGTGAACGTTTTTTCGTGAAAAATCATGAATATCCATGAGATATGCGGAGAATAAAAAGTTAACAAAATGAACAGAGAAAAAGTGGAGCTCTTCTGTCTTTTTTTTTTTTTTTTCCCTGCGCGCAATTGAGAGCGAACGAGCGCTGATGCATCGACAGAAGCTGTTCGGGGAAAAATCAAGCTTTCTCCTCCTCTTCTTTCCTTTTTTTTTTCGTGAGCGCGGCACAAATGAGAATTCGACTATTCTCTCTTTATACGAGCTCCGATGAAAAAGACGTCACGGAGCACGCGAGCGAGTCTGCGAAAAATCCTTCACCGAGTGAGTGGACAAATTTTTGGACTCTCGTAACGTGGAGAACTAATTGTTTTTTGTTTCGTTAAAAAATGTAGTTGGAGAAAAAAAAATTTGGACCATCATTTAACTATTTTATTGGTAAAAATTAATCATTGTCGTTAAGTTGTTAATTAAAATTTAAACTAACTAAAGTGTATGTAAGTTAACAAGTCCTGTTTTACCAATAACGTTAAATTAAAATAAAAACTTCCGTTAACCTACAAAATATCTGTATGATAAAAAGTGCAGGCATTGTACCACACTTTGAAATACACTTAGTATTTCAAAAGCCATAAAAATACACCTAAGTGTGTACTTCATACACTCACTTGAAATCAGGGACCACTGAAGAAAGAATCTCTGAGAAATTGCAATCACTTTTTCGTATACGATCCTCTCCTCAATCGTCCTTTGACATACAGATGGAATACTAGCGGTAATATTCAATTAAAAACAGTAATAGCTATTGAGCCTCGTATTGAAACGTGGAAGGAAATAAGTTTTGAGGAGAGATTTAATTAAAAATTATTGGAATGGAGTTCAATCATTATGATTTGAATGCCGAGCCAAAGAGTCGATCGATTAAGAGATAATCATCTTAATAAAGTGGCAGTGCTAAGAAGCCCATCGTTCGATGAACTGAAATTGATTCCAAAGAACAAAGTGCTCCATTTCAAAAGTACACCACAATAGTTTAAGTAGAATTGGTATCAAATGGAATTGGAGTGCCAGAAGAAAATTCAAGGAAAATTGAAAATTAAAGTTTTAACTATTCCATACCAAAGTAGAGATTGCTTTGAAAAATAATCAGATGAGAAGTTAATTCCTCAAAACTGTCTTGAACGTCAGCAGTATTTTGAGAAAATTCTTCCAACAAACAATAGTTCATTCTAATTAAAATCTTTTCCATAAAATGCCGCCTAAAAAAAATCTCGCGTTGAATCAATGATGTGTCCCCCATTGTTCTTAAAATTTGTATAACGTTATAAAATAAAAGGAGGCAGGTCCCAAGCTACACCTTTAGAAAAATTTTTATTAACTTCCGAATCACATTTTTTGTGGGTTCTCTCGTACATGGAATGACGCACGACAGACCAGTCACAGGGGACGCCATTGTTCTTTAGCTCACCTTTTTTTCCTCGTTTTATTTTAATCAAACGCTAAAATTGACAGGCGAATTTTTCGTTGACGCTCGTATTTGTGTTGCGGAAAATCGAGTTTTTGAACTAGAGTTCCGTAATTTCGTTTCTTAAAAGAGTCGCGCTGTACGTTTTATTATGCAAATCCTATGTTGAACGCGTTGAAAAAAAGATAAAAGCAAGACTTTTGTGCTACTCGCTGGATAACGAGTTTCTTTAAAAGTTCTTATCTAAAAATTTAAAAGGACGAGGAATATTCTCCGTCAGTGCTCGAATTTCTCGAAGAAGCGAAGCGTATGATATTACACCGAAAAACACTGCCACGAAAAATTGGATGAATAAATAGCTGGGCTACCTAGTTTCATATGCTTCTAATTATATTTTATTACTGCGGTGAGACTAAATTTGGACTCGTTCCACTTAGAATTTGACCTCAAGAAAAGGAACAGTTATTTCTTTAGAAAAAAAAAAAAAAGAAAAAGTTATTTTATCGCAACGAGTAGTGCGTGATTTATGAATTTCCATCACTTAATTACGGCTTATTTTCACGCAAAAGAAACATCCATAAGATAATACAGTGGAAAGAGCGCGTGTTTCGTAGGGATGTGTTGCAATAGTCTCTTTTTTTCCCCTACTTTTTTCAAGGAGACACCAATATAAACTATTTCATCTAAAAAAAAGTCTCCAGTAAACTCGAGCAGCTCCAAAAACACCCGCACACTAGACACTCACCGGCCACAAAACGATAAAAAAACCCAACCCTCGATTGCAGGCTGCACGAGAAGGATGTCGCACCAGCATCACCCGGAGCGTAGGTGGCCGATGCGGGGATACCTGGTGCTGCTGTCGCTCCTTTTGGTGCTCGAGCTCGGGCTGGGCTCGCCCTCCCACCGAGGCCGTCACCACGCGCCGTCCGACCTCGAGCTCCAGCAGGCCAGCCAGCAGCACCTGCAGGACGACGAGCCCTCCGCGCTCAGATCGATGGAGGCCGAGGCGTCGATGGCCGTGGCAGCCGCCGCCGCCGAGGCCGCCGTCGAAGGGATGCTGCCACGAGCCGAGCACTTGACCGGCGCCAAGCTCGCCTCGGCCTCCCAGACCGCGGAGGATGACGACCCGCTCGTCGTCAGGACCAAGAAGGGCAGAGTCAGGGGCGCCACGCTCACCGCGACCACCGGCAAGAAGGTCGACGCATGGTTCGGGATACCTTACGCCCAGAAGCCCATCGGTGAGTACTTACCCCGGGAAAGGCTTTTTTTTTTTTTCTACTGATCGAGCCACGGTTACATTGGTGACTGAATGAGCGTGCGAGGAAACTTGCCGGTGTACGATGGGGGTGTTGTTATTATTCTTCGAGTAACACGGACTCCTCGACGTACCGGATAACAAACTTTTTTCACGGCCACTCGAGCTGCCCGTGGACAAAAAAAAAAAAAAAAAAAATAGTAGGGGAAGGAATCTCACGTCTTTTCACTTCTTTGGGGGAGCTTGTGGTGACCTTCGCGTGTGCGCTGTGCTTCTTGTATACGGCGACTTTTGGTGGTGTACGGGTATAAATATATTGCGGCGTGATGGAGTTTTATTGCTACGCCACGATACAAAAGTTAAAGCTTTGTAAATTGATCAAATGACTTTTTTGTTTTGTGTTTTATCAGCCACGTGATTTTTTAATTGGATATCGAATGAGTTATGACGTATGTTTCTTCGTCCCTACAGCGACTTACCGTTGGAGAGGAAATACCGTGATAATTCACTCTCGTACGTCTCTACTCGATGATTCGCGCTCTCGACTCTCCCTTCACTGGATCTATCTGAAAAGGGGATTCACGTCTGGGTCAAATGAACAACATAGAGTGACTTTGACTTTACTTCACGTATTTATTAAAATAACCACAACACCTCTCTTTGGTCCCAATTACACACACGCACTCTTACACTCTTTTTCTTTACCACACGACTCTCGGTTGGGGCCAGGCCTCCTCAACGCGGCTGGCTCTTTTATTTTGCACATGAATAAAACAATGGGATTTAACGACAACAAAACGTTGTGAAGAAAAAAAAAAAAAAGAAAAATGGAAAAAGGAAAATGTAGAGGTATTATCACGTCGTCATCGGCAATATCGGAGAATACTCAAAAAATTCCATGGAGCGGACAATCAAACTTTTTTGGTTACTTTTCAGATAAATTGAGGTTCCGCCACCCCCGGCCTGCCGAAAAGTGGGAGGGCGTCCTCAACGCCACGAAGCCGCCCAACAGTTGCGTCCAGATCCTTGACACGGTATTCGGCGATTTTTCCGGGGCCATGATGTGGAACCCCAACACGCCCCTCAGCGAGGACTGCCTCTACGTGAACGTCGTCGCGCCCAGGCCCAGGCCGACTAACGCCGCTGTCATGGTATGGATATTCGGTGGTGAGTTATCCCTACTCCCTTCTCAGAGCAAGCACTCGCGTATTCTTTTTTTTTTTTTTTTTTTTTGCATACCGAATCGATTAGCTGTAGATGTACAGTTGTGTAGCAAGTAGTATGAACCTACGTTCAGTCAGACACGTACACGCGGTGCTGAAGACCTTTGCACAAGGATTAATTTAGTATAAAAGCCGGCCCAATTTTTAAAAAAATACATGTTAATTCCCAACCATATGTGACATCGATTCCCCCATGATAAAACGCCCAGCGAATCGATCCAGCCTCGCTCGCGCGCTATTCTTGAATATTCATTAGCGGCGGCAGCAGTAGATAAAAGTCGTCGATTCACCGGCAATTAAATATTTGGATCAATGTCAATGCCGCGGAAGGTTGTATACGTTACGAACGACGGACGAGCTTACGTAACGGCGTTACAGTGTACCCGTATACATACACCTATGCACACACGATACGGACGACCTTCTTTGGTTAACGATTGTTGTTTGTATACCCGCTCGTGTACGTTATACGTATACACACGTGTGCACGTGCCCTCCTTATTCCCTCGCTCGTGAATCGCGAGTATCAAATTTTCCAACTATCGATTCGATCCTTTCGTATGTACGCGTGTCTTTCTGCAGCGATGTACGCGTCTGTAGGTTCCTACTCTTCACGAATAGCATGAAGAAAAAAAAAAAAAAAAAAAAGAATTACCAAATGAACGAAGCAGGACACCAATTCTTGTGTACTACGTTTGTTGTCCCGGAATGAAAAAATGCAATAAACTCAATTGAAGATTTTTTTCCTCTCCCTGTTTAAAAACAAACAACCCCATGCGCACAGGTGGCTTCTACTCGGGCACGGCGACGCTGGACGTGTACGACCACAGGACCCTCGTATCCGAGGAGAACGTGATCCTCGTGTCTATGCAGTACCGCGTGGCCAGTCTCGGTTTCCTTTACTTCGGCACCTCCGACGTCCCCGGCAACGCTGGAATGTTCGACCAGATGATGGCCCTCCAGTGGGTACGCGACAACATAGCCGCCTTCGGTGGCAACCCCGACAACGTTACCCTGTTCGGCGAGAGCGCCGGTGCCGTCTCCGTCTCGCTGCTCCTGCTCTCGCCGCTGTCGAGGTGACCTTTTTTTTTTGCTCCCCAATCAATAGCAAGGAGAGCAATTTAATGTCGAGAACTACCGAGATTTCCACTGTTCGTAGGCACCTGTTCAACCAGGCGATAATGCAGTCTGGCTCGGCAACGGCACCCTGGGCCATAATATCCCGGGAGGAGTCGATAACCCGTGGCCTGCGGCTCGCCGAGGCGGTGAATTGTCCGCACGAGCGTAGCAACCTGCGAGACGTCATAGACTGCCTGCACACGAAAAAAGCCGTGGACCTCGTGAACAGCGAGTGGGGCACTTTGGGCATATGCGAGTTCCCGTTCGTGCCGGTGATGGACGGCGCCTTTCTCGACGAGACGCCCCAGAACTCGATGAAAACGGCCAGCTTCAAGAAGACCAGCATACTCATGGGCTCCAATACCGAGGAGGGCTTCTACTTTATCATTTACTACTTGACCGAGTTGTTCAGGATCGACGGGACGGAGGACGTGAAGGTGTCGAGGGAGGAGTTCGTGCGGGCGGTCAGCGAGCTCAATCCCTACGTCAACCCGATCGGAAGATCGGCCATCATGTACGAGTACACGGACTGGCTGAGACCCGATGATCCGGACGCAAATAGAAACGCCCTCGACAAGATCGTTGGGGATTATCACTTCACGTGCAACGTCAACGAGTTCGCGACGAGGTACGCCGAGACGGGGAACAAGGTCTACATGTACTATTACACGCACAGGTAAGTTTTTTTTTTTTTTTTCCTTTCCTCAGCGTACAGTAGTGAATTTGTCTATTATCAATTACTTTGGTGGGCAATATGGCTCGTGAGTGCATGTGAGTATAAGTTTATGGCCACGGTCAATGGCTTTTAATATTATACTTAAACTTAAAAAAAAAAAAAAAAAAAAAAAACTGTTTCATTCAAACTGTAGGATCTTTAAGAAGAAGAAAATTTTTCGCGCTTTGTAAGCTTCGCTCGCCAAATCTACGGTGTTAATCTACTCCTCCCACCCTCTCGATATTTGAAAGTCAAAGAGCAGAGAGCCATCAAAATCAACACCAACGTTTTTTGCATAATAACAAAGAGCCATTCCGATGCAAATGCCACCGCGATCGTTTGCCATCAAAAAAAAAAAAAAAAAAAAAAACAAACAAACGAAGCAAAAAAATTAACGTTCGGTGTTGGTGACAGGTCGGTGAACAATCCATGGCCAAGGTGGACGGGCGTGATGCACGCAGACGAGATAAGTTACATATTCGGCGAGCCACTCGACCCTAAAAAAAAGTACACGCAAGACGAGGTGTACTTGTCCAAGAGGATGATGAGATACTGGGCTAACTTTGCGAAAACTGGGTAAGAAGCTCATTCACTAACTTTCATCCACCACCCACCCCTCCCTCTTTTTTTTTACTTCATCTTTATTATTACACGTCCTCATGAATAATGCTAAAAATATCGCACTCCTCGCGCTTTGCTTTTCCCTCTTGTAAGATTTGCATACGTACTGTAGGCACAAGTTTATTTTTGCGAGACAAGAGAAGCTTATTACCCAATACACCCAATTATAATAACGGGGTGATGGCATTATGAATATGCAGCGTCGCGTGTCGTAAACAGGAACTTTTTCCATCCGGGGAATCGAGATTTTCATAAAGCTCCGGCCTTTTATTCGCAAAGTATGGCGTGTCGTGAAAAAAGGAAGAAAAAGAAAAACAGGTAACCCTCGCGCGGGACGACCTTTGAGACTCTCGAATTTGCGTGTGCTTTCATGCGGGTCGAAGAAGTTTCGTTTTACAGGCAAAGTTTATGAAGTTGGCGCGCTGCATTGTACTTTCGGCGCTGTTGGTTTAATGGGACGCAATTGTGCAATGGGACAAAACGATTTGTCAGGGCGCCTCGAGGTTTTTATGCCCTGAAACGCGATCTCGTCTTATCGTCGTTTTATTAAAAACTTTAGAATTTAGGGCGCTACTGTGTTCAAGTGACGATACGATTTAGTATAGTGTGGTTGCAATCGAATATTGGAGCAATTTTTATTGCATCGATACTAAAAACGCTTTTTGACTCTGTCGGAAGCACTTTCGCAGCTGTCTTCAATTTTGAAGCGACCAAGAAACTAGTTAAATAGTTGGATCTATTGAAAGTAATTTCAGGAATCAAGTGTATTACGAGTCATTGATAATGATATTATGTGATAAGAAAAGACATTATCTTCCTACGTCGGAAAAAACTTTGTTTTTTTTAGATACCTTACCATACTGTAGACAAAGATACTGCAGATCAATGTTTTATTTTCTTCAATGTTTAACGCTTCAAATATAGCATCGATCGTTCATTAAAAATTAATGAAAATGTAAAAGTAAAAACGACTTGTCAATCGTTACCATCAATCTTTTCTTATCAGTTACGGTACATCGAATTTTCTCCGGGTATGTCCCTTCAGATATATCCTACAGAATAACATCAATGAAACGTAAAGGAAAAAAAAAAAAAGAAATCGAATAAAGGACAATTGATATTTTCTAGCGATCCAAACTCTGGCGACGACGGCTCGTCCTGGACAGAAACAGCCTGGCCGATACACACGGCCGACAAAAAGGAGTACCTGACCCTCGACATCAACACAACGGAGATCGGCTACGGTCCTCGGGCGAGGCAGTGCGCCTTCTGGAAGAAGTACCTGCCGCAGCTGCTCTCCTCCACTTGTAAGTCAAAATTAACGTCTTTTTTTTTTAACTCATATCCTCTCACTATCCCATTTTATGAGTTAGCTTTTCGACAGTTGACATTAAAAAATAAAAAGTTTTATGGCGCAATGGCACTCGTTTGGAAAAAAAAAATAATAATAATAATTGCAAGACACGAGTTTATTCTCCAAAACGTATCGTCATCTTCATCGAGTGTCCAACCGATACAAACACTCGCACGTATTTCTCAGCCTCTCCTCCTTGAACCCAAACTGAGAGTAATCCCAAGTATACCCCACACCGACGTACTCTCTCAACTCCAACGGTACATACAAGTACAGCAAGCGGCTCGTCAATTGTCTCTTTCCCCCCACCCCTGTTTCGTCACCCACACACTCACGCACACTTGAACCGACACCTGTTGAGTCGCAAGTGCATTCGGAATACCTCAGTTCTCACCCTTACTCGAGTCGAGGCGCGCCCCTCGGCTTTCCATTAATTGTCTCTCATCCTCACTATTGACACTTTGTAACTATACACCGAGTGATAGCTTTTTTCCAGCCTAATGAAATTTTCTTCCTCCAAACTTCTCTGAGTAAACGTCGGGGGGAGGGGGGGGTATGTTTATATTGACTAATTGGGGGACTTGAATGGATTAAGTGGTGTACCGTCAACTTTGGAACAAAAAATATGCCGAAAAGGTTTTTTATTTTTTAGACTAACATAAGCTCGACGATGTAGTCGCTTGATCTCGAAAGTAGCGAGAAACGAAGGGTTGAAATGTTTCTTTGGACAGTCCGGACGATAAGCCAAAAAAAAAAATTTCAAGTTTCACGGTATACGACGCGTATGAGGAGTAAGAGCGAGTGGAAAAGGAAGGAAGTCGTCGAGAGTTGTACGTGTGTGATTTATTCAGTCAGAGTCGACTACTGGCCCACTTGGACGGCAGAGCCAAAAGAGGGGGAGAGAAAATTGGCAGGGACGAAATAAACGTGCAAGGGTCGAAGGGAACGAGCTAGCGCGTCAGACGTATGAATTTTTCAAGCTCACCAACTGTGCGGACGTGAGATTTCAGGTGGATCGATGAGTTGAGAAAAGAGTCCAGCTTGTCTCTTTACGAGGTATCGATTTTATATGTATTTTTTTTTTTTCATTTCATTTTATTTAAGAAAGACGTGAATTTTTCCTGCATAGGAGTTAATGGACAAAGACGAGGTAGATAATCATCAACAGACCGGTTGGTTGTTACGAGTGAAAAATTACGCTCTGGGGTGCACTCGGGACAAATAGTTTCCAAGTTGCCGAGCGATAAATTGCTAAATAAAAACTTCCTCGACACTGCTGGTACTGTTGAAAAAATTACTTGGGGCGATTTAAAGAAAACGAGGCTCTGCTCCTACGAAATGTGGTATCAAATTGCCCTGTGTGTGTCAATCTTGGTAATACAGAAACGTCGGTGTCGAAAGCAAAACCACAAAGAAGAGAAAAAAAAATTCAGACACGCGAGAGCGAAACAGGCGAGATATCGGATACGTGCGATTATCCCTTACACGCGACACGTCACCACCTCGAGGGGTAAGGATGTCTACTTAATTAGGGACGACAAGTCTCTGATGTAAAGCGCGCCGGGCGATGCTTTTCATAATTAAACCCTTTGCTGGAGAAGCCGCATTGTCTGACGCTCGAGGCTATGTTATCGGCTCATCTTTCTCCCGCGCAAACGGGGACGTGTGATCGCTATACTTTTCGCGGTAATGAGACGGACGTGCTTGACGGCTTCGTTAAGGCCAGATAACATGTTGGTTGACGTTGTTCGTTTGGAATTTTAATAGATCTACATACAATCATTTATTCACGTATCGGGTACACAAGTAGGGTTCTTAAAGTGTACCAAGTTTATAAATTTTTGTTAAAAAAAAAAAAAAAACCATCACCTTCTATCTCTTTCTTTGGTACGAGTGTATACATTTACGCGTATAAGCTATCACAGCAACGAGGCAGATGCGCTGAAACAGCGTTTAAAATATTTAAACGTCGCTCTATTTTAAGATGCTTTTAGTCAAATTGCCGTGGGAGTGTTATTATTTTCCTTCCATCTCCTCTCGTCTGAGTATGTGTATTTTTGTAATCATGATTTTACCCGTTAAGTATGAAACAGTTTCTTATTTTTTTTCTTTTTTTTTTTTTTCAACTATAAACACTTTATTCCTCGTAATCCAGGCTTGTTGGGCCAAAAAACGAATGTCTGACTAAACGCTGATTTGTACTACTTTCGGATAACAGCGAGCGGCCCCGGAAGCCCAAAATAGACGGTCTATCTCGCGAAAAGTAAAACAAAAGCAAACGTACGTATTCTGGAGCGTGATATACTCTAATTCCTATTTAATTTCGCTTGGGCTGACTATGCGTACTCTTTACTACTTACCACGGGCAATTATAAGGTTATAAGGTTAGCAGCGCCCCGCTGAACCGGGGATTTTTCAGGTACGCCCAAACAACGACTTTGGAAAATGCAATGGTAAACAGAAGCCGTCTTCTGAGAAACTGCAGTATGGAAAAAAAATTCCAAACTCGGGTAGGAAAAAAAAAAAAAGAAAAAAGTGGGTAGTAGATTTCTCCTGCAATCTCATTTCTGTACGCTCGTCATTTGTATGCGATGAAAATAGCTTGCAGTGGATTATCATACCACGTATATATCACTTACCTCCCTTCTCGTGCGCCCTCGAGACTCCAAAGCTAGCGACACGAGACTTTATTTCTCTTCCTCGCAAATTCGCAATCTTTTCCACCCCCACCCTCAACTTTGAATCCTCTTTCTTCCGTGCAATATTGTATACCTCTCATTTTCGCCGAGTTGCTCTGCCGGAATGGAATTTCTCCTGCCGTCGCATCAGCCCGAGTGAATTTACCATTATTTATTTATTTTATTTTATTTTTTTCAAAAATCCACAATGCTGGTAGTGCTCATCCGTAATCTTGACTGTTTCCCCGTTTATTCGCACTCCAGCTCGAACAGGACACTTGTGCGATACCCCTTGTAGCAATCTGCAGAGAGCCAAGCAACCACTGTCACACCAGCTTTAAAGAGGAGGGGCCAGTGTCCTACAACTCGCACACACACCGGAGGGCTTGAAACAGTGGTGCACGGAGATGTAAAGCAGTGGAGCGACGCCGGCGTGGGCGGATGGGAGCTAAAAATAGCTGCCGCTCCCCGCCTCCCTTCTTCTCCTCCGGTCCCTTCACCTTTTTTTTTCTCTCTCTCTCTCTCGCTCTCCCCTTTTTTCACGTACCTACTCTACATTTGCAGTTGCGCGGTCCTTCTCCCCTACGCGCGTTCCTTCCCTTCTCTCTTTCCTTTTCTCCGGTTGTTTTTTCCCGTCACGTGGCACGGCGTGTGCTGACCTGAAACGAAGTCGAGGGTCCGCACGCGCCTGTGTATGCACACACACACGTACGTACAGACTTACTTACCCACAGAAATGAGGGGAAGGGGGAAAAGAGTCACGAGCAGCACGTGGCCGGCTGACTATTTCCGATTTGTACTACTTGATTTTCCGACTCGTAACCGTGTACATGACATCTCCATCGCTTATCATCCGAACGTGGGTTAAAAAAAAAAGGTCCAGCTTTACCGTTAACTACCCAAATTGCTCGCACGCGTTGACGAGGCAATTGGACAGCACTAATTTACTCTCTCATAATTAGTGTGAAAAAAAAACAAAAAGAATGAAGCTGAAATAAAGCACTTGATCCCGTCAAACCGAACCATCGACAGTTAAATAAAAAAGAAAAAAAAAAAACTCCAGGAGCCAAATAGAGGAGATTTATCTAACTGGGTTACAGGTCCTTATAACGGCGTATACATCACGTATGTGTACGTACAAGCGCGAGATGACCCGAGAGGACGTACGAAGGAAGCCTCGTAAAAAATAATACCGAGCCTTACCGGCGTCACATAAAAGCCGAGAGAGAGAGAGGGGGGTCGCATATATGTATACACGTATATATTTACGTACACGCCGTGTATTACACACCAAAGAAGGGGGGGAGGGGGGTAGCATTCGGTGAGCGCGAAATAACTAGGTTATGACGTCGATGCCAGGGGATAAAAAGAGAGAGAGAGGACCAGTCAGCAGGGCTTTTGGTATATAATACGCAGCAGCCCGACTACTCCCTCTCGGCGGACAATAGGCTCCCCCTGGCTCAGCGGATATGACTCGGGGGCTATATGCTCTGACGTCACGCGCCGGGACGACGAACGCCACCCCCCCCCCCATGCTGGGACGACTGGGTTGTGTGTACGTGTGGATATGACCGCAGAATGCAGGCTGCGCGTACATTACGCATCCGCGGATGGGGAACTCTCTTCGTGCGGGCGTGTGTACGTGTATAAACTTGGGCTGCAAGTGTGAATCGACTGCTGATGATGCAACGACTCCAGCTGCTGGCACTTTGGCGTGACGTAGGTAAAGTGCTGCTGGCCGATGGGGGTATTTTAGGGGTGTACACAACGTTGTCGTGCGTTGTGGTGTATTTTTGATGAAGATTATTATGTGTTGTTGGCTCCTGAATGGGAGGAAGAAAGAAAAAAAAACCCAATAAAGTGTATGCGTTCGAGGGGGATTGGCTCGTGAATTACGAAATCCGTGCGCGTTTACGTGCGGAGTGGTGCGGTTAAAGAGTAACGAGTGGAAGCCAATCGCTCGAGCACCTCTTCTCAATTTTTCAGTCTGACGCAGTAGCCCCTCCTCCCCCTATTTTTTTCTTTGACTTTACGGAGGATTCTTTGTTCTACTCTGCGGTTAGATTTCCTTTTTTTTTTTTTTTTTTGAGGAATGAGTGCAGATGTGCTCCCACGGTATTCGGGGGACGGGTGGTTTCCAATTGTTTTTTTTTTTCTCCCCTACGGAGGTATATGCGTATATATACATGCATGAATCTAAAATTACGTCGCTGATAGCGAGTGCTATTTCGAGTCGGAGGGGCTTGAATGCTGATTACAGAAAATATATACCGTA